TACAATTCTTAAGGATTAAGGGAGAGGGGGAAGTATGTCAGAAGTGTTTGACCCACAGCAACTCCATCTTGAAAAGGGGCTGGGTAAAATAAGTCTGAGACCTACTGGGCTGCATTCCCAGGAGGTTAGGCATTCTTACTCACAGGGTGAGATAGGAGAAGCTTGGCACAAGATACAGGTCACAAAGACTCTGCTGATAGAACAGGATGCAGTAAAGAAAGAAGCAGGCCAAAACCCACCAAAACCAAGATGGCGATGAAAGTGACCTCTGGTCGTCCTCACTCCTCATTATACACTAATTATAATGCATCAGCATGCTAAAAGACACTCCCACCACCACCACGACAGTTTACAAATGCCAAGGCAACTGTGGGAAGTTACCTAAACAGTTCCCTAAAAGGGGAGGGAGCTTCAGTTCCAGGAAATCTCTGCCCTTTTCCCAGAAAGCTCATGAATAATCCACCCCTTGTTTAGCATATAATCAAGAAATACCTAAAAGTAGACTCAGTCAAGCAGCTGATACTGCTGCTCTATGGAGCAGCCATTCTTTGGTTTTGATTTACTTCTTTTTTTTTCCTTTTTTTTTTTTTTTTTTTTTGAGACGGAGTCCCACTCTGTCGCCCAGGCTGGAGTGCAGTGGCCGGATCTCAGCTCACTGCAAGCTCCGTCTCCCGGGTTTAAGCCATTCTCCTGCCTCAGCCTCCCCAGTAGCTGGGACTACAGGCGACCGCCACCGCGCCCGGCTAGTTTTTCGTACTTTTTTTTAGTAGAGACGGGGTTTCACCATGTTAGCCAGGATGGTCTCGATCTCCTGACCTCGTGATCCGCCCGTCTCGGCCTCCCAAAGTGCCGGGATTACAGGCTTGAGCCACCGCGCCCGGCCTCTGTTTTTGTTTTTGTTTTTTTGAGACAGTCTCCCTCTGTTGCCCAGGCTGGAGAGCAGTGGCATGATCTCGGCTCACTGCAACCTCCGTCTCCCAAGTTTTAATAGTTTCTCCTGCCTCAGCCTCTGGAGTAGCTGGGATTACAGGTGCGCACCACCACGCCCGGCTAATTTTGTATTTTCAGTAGAGACAGGGTTTCACCATGTTGGCCAGGCTGGTCTCGAACTCCTGACCCCAGGTGATCCACCCGCCTTGGCCTTCCCAAGTGCTGGGATTACAGGTGAGAGCCACAGTGCCTGGTCTGTTTCTTTACTTCTTTTATAAACTTGCTTTCACTTAAAAGAAAAAAAAAAAAAGAAAAGAAAATCTGGGGGCTTCAAACTAATAAATGTATTGTTATAACATTTTATATTTAAGTCACTTATAGGCAAGGGGAAAATCTCCTCCAAACCGAGAGAGAGAGAGAGAGAGAGAGAGAGAGAGAGAGAGAGAGAGATTATACACAGAAAGCACTTCTAAAAACATATGCAATGTAGCAAATCTTTTCTTTACAATTTACTGACACTTTAAATTTAGCTGACTCTGGGATGGATAAGCATACAAATACTTGGGTATTGAATCTGAAAACTTTAAAAACTTTTTTTTTTTTAAATAGAAAAGCCCTTTGGGCAGTTAAAGAAGGAAAGGGAACTAGATCCAAACCAATCTGTTGGCTAACCAAGTGAATATATATAGAGGCAACAAAAGGGTCACCTAGCAGCCTTTGTTCAGAAAGGGTCAGTATGCCCCAGCCAGTATTTTTAAAAACCATTAGGATATAGGAAGTACTATAGCTTCTATAGCTTCTGGTCAGCTCATCGCTGTCAGGTAAAAATGATTTCTATGGACTCTGGGTATCCAGAATGGGAAAAGAATGGAAGTGACAATAGAAGGGAAGAAAAGTGGAGAGAGGCTTTGCCATGACCAGGGAATATCAAGTAACTCAGCTTTGCACCTGAGCTCCAGAACAGCAAATGAGCCCACCCCCATAAGATCAAAGAGGCTCTGCTTCCTACTGGGCATCCTGCAGGACCTGGGCCCAGAAGATCCACCCCTGAAGACAGCATCTATAGCCAAAGTCCAGGGAAGAAGCTTGCAGTTTCTCTACATCAAACATTCTCACACTTTTTGGTCCCTTTTACACTTTTAAAGATTACTGATTTCCCCAAATGTGGGTTGTATCAATGAATATTTATCATAATACAAATAAAAACTGAGAAATTATTTTAAAAAGTATTTAACAACTGATTTCAAAATAACAATAAGCCCATTGTAACACAAAAAATATATATTATATGAACTTTTCATACAAGCTTCTGCATTCGATCTGTTGTGATATCACACATCATGGAACCTCTGGAAAATTCCACTCTACACTTGTGAGAGAGAGAATGAAAAAAGCAAATGTTTTAATAGTATCACAAAAATAGTTTTGACTCTGCGGACTCCTGAAAAGGGTCTCAGAAAACCTCCAGGGATCTCCCCATGCCATACTTTTGAGAATGGCTGCCCTATGTACATGAACACCATGTTTTAAAAACCCTGCTTAACTTGGTCTAAAGCCTCCACCTGACCATATTACTTATTCCCTGAGTCTATAACCTCCAGAGGAGCTACAGAAAAAAATCACTTCAACAAGGCACCCAGCAATTCTGACCCTGGAGTGGATGGGCCATCACCACCATTTTCAGGAGGAAGCAAATCAGAACTGGGGAAGGAGTGTAGAATAAATGAGTGTGTGCGCCTGAAAAACGCAAAGTTGGAATTCTAATTTTGTATTTGGAAAATATAAGTGTCAATGGAAACTGAATAAGCAAAAGAAAATACTGACTACTGAAACAGGCAAACACAAACTGTCTTATGCATATCTCAACTGGGGAAAAGACATCTTATTTGTCTTTATAGCCCTAATTGGCACATAAGGAGTACTCAATAAACGCTGAGTTGTCTGGGTGTGGTGGCTCATGCCTGTAATCCCAGCACTTTGGGAGGCCGAGGTGGGTGGATCACCCGAGGTCAGGAGTTTGAGACCAGCCTGGCCTACATGGTGAAACCCTGTCTCTACTAAAAACACAAAAATTTGCCGGACTTGGTGGCGGATGCCTATAATCCCACCAGCTACTTGAAAGGCTGAGGCAGGAAAATCACTTGAAACCTGGAGATGGAGGTTATAGTGAGCCAAGATGGTGCCACTGCACTCCAACTTGGGCAAAAGAATGAGATTCCATCAAATTAAATAAATAAATAGGTCAGGCATGGTGGCTCACGCCTGTAGTCTCAGCACTTTGGGAGGCCGAGGCAGGCAGATCATGAAGTCAGAAGATAAGAGACCATCCTGGCCAACATGATAAACCCCATCTCTACTAAAACTACAAAAAATTAGCTAGGCATGGCGGCATCGGCCTGTAATCCCAGCTACTCGGGAGGCTAAGGCAGGAGAATTACTTGAATCTGGGAGGTGGAGGTTGCAGTGAGCCGAGATCGTGCCACTGCACTCCAGTATGGCAAGAGAGCAAGACTCCATCTCAAACCGAGGCGGGTGGATCACGAGGTCAGGAGATCGAGACCATCCTGGCTAACACGGTGAAACCCCGTCTCTACTAAAAATGCAAAAAAAATAATAAAATAAAAATAAAAAATAAAATAAATAAAAATAAATGCTGAGTTGATCTGAGGCCTTGAATACTCATAATTAGTAACCAAGAAACAGGGCTTCTGGTGTTTTAACAGATAATGTGGTTTTAAAAATTATATAGCTCAAAGTGGAGTGAATTTTCTTCAAACTTTACCTTCATAAGCAATTTTACATGGTATACCTAGATCTCCCAATTCCAAATAAACCCTTAGACATACATACTCTTTTCTGGCCTCCATTCTGTTTTATTCCTCCTCCTCCTCATGGCCAAATCCATCAAAGATGCTGTCTTTCCAGTTCTTCTCTCTGAGCTCCTGAGACCTGGTTTCTATTTTCACACCTGGACTCTTAATCACTAGTTTCTCAGGGTCCTGCTCAATATCCTCCTCCTATTCTAAAGACTTTTTTTTCTTTTTTTTTTTTTTGAGATGAGGTCTCACT